TACGAACTGTTGTTACTGTGTTTCCTTGTTCCAAGGCCATGCTCTAGGTATTTGCGCCGTTCAGCGAGCACCTTTTCAGGATAAACTGTGGATAGAAGTCAAAAAGCCGCCTCGCCTATGACAGGGCGAGGTCCTACATCCAGGTAGACGAAAGCTACCTTTGGAGCGAGCTCATGTCTTGAGGTATCATTCTCGAAAGGATTAATTTACGAACTAAGATCAGGTCGGCATACTTACGATGACGAACGGCGTTCGGAGGACTGCATGTCCTACCATCTACATTAAATTTTATCGAAGACTACATGCCGAGAGATACGACACCTCACCAGCCGAACACCTCAGCCGAATGATACTCCAGCGACAAGATATCAGATGGGGATATTTTCGAGGACATCATTTCTTTCAGCAAAGAAAGCTGACGTGTGTGACTGACGTCAGATAAAAAAAAACTCGACCGAGACGCGGGGAATACGTTTAGCACTCAGGAGACGCAGCAGAATCCCAAAAGACTAAGCTAATTAATACTTGTATCAAACATTCGTAAGCAGAGTTGTGGGGGAAACAGTTCGTAAGTGAATGGGTACCGCGAAAGAAAGTTAAAAAGTACTTGGAAAAGAGAAAGTAAACAGTATGGGAAACCGCATAGAGGTAAACAGGTGGCGTCAGACTGCGAGCCTAGAGGATTCAGTTGATCGATGTGTATGCGCGCCTGGCGCGTCTGTAGGACGCAAGGCTCACTGCGAAATAATGGGCCTGCCATTCCTCTTGGCGACAGGATCGGTGTTCCGGGAGGTTGCCGGCGCCGGCTATTTTGTCTGTCTGCGCAGTGTGGGTGGACCGGTCAATGCACTTCCACAACTGATGGGACTGCCAGTCTGCCGCACCTTATTTTTGGTTTCCGGTTTATCCACGACGGACGGTTGCCTGTTTTCTTTCGTCCAAGTGGACAGTTTAGATGAGTGATTCTTCTAACCAAGAAATATATCGTCAAAGCGGCGACCCAAGTGCAGACAGCTTCTGCTCTTTACGTTAGTGTTATAACCAGTGTCCGGGTGACCGTAAAAGGAACAACATGTAACGTACGAGCGCAAGCTCTAATGTCACAATGACGGGCATCCTTGCTTCCCACGGCATACAGAAGGTCGCTGACTTTAACCAGTCCGGTTAAAAGCACGAGGTACGTCAAATAAAAAGACCAAGTCAGTAATGACAGGTAACATGAGTATTTAATAAACAGCCTCAGAAGCGTCAGACGTGGAGTATTTACTTGCAAGTTAAAATGTACTTTAGACTCAACTGTTCCATAAAATTTCGAGCTGATCGTAAAATGTGTCCCGGGCACTTAACCTCGAGTCGTTCGTCTAGTAATTTGTGAAATCACTATAGTGATTCAGAAACTAAACAGGACCTAGTGTCGTTCGTTGGGAAGCAAAAGAGGAAGACAAGAAAACAATGTTTGTAACTGGATGACGCAGTGAGAATGCAAACACTTTCCTACGTAACAAGGATTCAAAGTGAAGTGCGATTTAAAACTCACCTCGACGATGGCGTCCACCGGACAGGCCTCCTGACAAAAGCCACAGTAAATACACTTCGTCATATCGATATCATAGCGCGTCGTTCTCCTGCTACCGTCTTCTCTAGGTTCAGCCTCAATGGTAATTGCTTGAGCAGGGCATATAGCCTCACAGAGTTTGCAGGCGATGCAGCGTTCTTCCCCACTGGGGTAACGACGTAGTGCATGTTCACCGCGAAATCGTGGACTAAGTGGCCCCTTCTCGAAAGGATAATTAATAGTTGCTGGTTCTTTGAGAAGTGTCGCAAAGGTGATGCCAAAGCCTTTACGCATGTGAGACGTAGTTCAATTCCTCACCTTTAACTATTTCAGAAAGGAGTAGCTTTCTGGCAAGTGTATCCAAGCCTTCGGACAAAGTATTCTGCTCCTCTGGTGGAGATACAATTTTATACTTTGAAAGGACGGCAGTGGACCGTAAATGTCGGAAGGGCAGAAAGATACATGGCCTAGGAAGAGTAGTCAACCGCAGACCAACAGCAGCCATATTTCAAAAACGCGAAAGCACATTCGGCCCACTTGAACAATTCGCATGAAATATAATTCTACAGTGAGTCGTCGTTTATCGAAAATCGAAAGACTAACAATTTTTTGAATATAACCATGGTACTTAGTATCGCTATTTCACTTGGAGTGGGTTCCATGATTGAACTACATGCTGATAACGGGAGTTATGTTCATTTGGGTCTCACAAAAGGTACGCTCAACGAACTTCGTCTTCGGCGGACAGCAAATATTTTCGAAATACGCATTCACAAGCATATCGACGGAATAAACATTTAAAAAGGGTTATACCACGGCCTATGGCCAAAATTCTGTCGTACAAGTCATCCGGTGTTTGGACAACCATTTATTGTCGGCGTATTTTCCTGATGTAGTAAGCCGGACCCCTGAACGACTTCTTGAATGACTGCGTAATGGAAGTTAGGGAACTAATTGCTACTGGTCTGCGTGTTTCATTGACAGAAAAGGTTGTCAGGATAATCCTAGAGAATGCAATTTTTAACACGCCCGCTTGATCTTACCACAGGCGGGTAGAAGCGCATAATGGGTATTTTAAGTGCAATAAGTACGTTGCTTCGTACAGATAACAGTAATTACTGCAGGTATTATCATGTTGGGTGCCCCTTTGCC